GTGAATTCTGAGCTGAAATGAGAGATTTCAAGGCCATTCTTTAATTCTTCATTTCCATTTCAAGGCCCCAAGGCCGTGCCCCCTCAGCTCCTGTTTCATTCCCTGGATCAGCTGGAAATGGGATCAGGGATCCACGGAGCTCCCCCCAAAGCCCAGAGCACAAATTCCATCCCTGCACCAGGAATATTTGGGATATTTGGAGGGAAACCTGCGGCATTTTACGCCTGGAATGGCACAATGTGGGATCCCTGGATGGGAAAAGGGGAAAATCAGGGAAAAGCTGAAATTTCTGGGAAAACCAAGGACAGGCTGAGCCTTCCCTGCTGCCAGGAGAGAGGGAAAAAACAAAATGTGGGAATATTTCTGTGGGATGCAACCCCCACTCTTGGATTTAATAAAATATCACTGATGAGGAGGAGGATTTTTAATTTTTACATTAATTAAGCTGTGATTAATTAATTAACCGGCCCTGCCAAAACCTCCCTCTGGAAACCTAGGAGCGAACATTCCTGGATAAATCCAAAGGCACAATCACACCTGGAATTTCACATTTTGGGCCCTGGATCAATAATTGATCCAGTTCTATATCAGAATTCAGATTCTGCTGCAGGAACACCTCTGGTTTTGGGGAATTCCTGCACCCCTGAAGTTCATGGTGAGCACCAGGAGCAGGGAACGTTTGCCAGGATCTGCAGCTTCTCCTTGGGATTCTGGATGGGCTCAGAGGGGACACGGTGACATCCCAGCATCCCTGGAGCATTCCCAACCCCAATCCCAGATCCCAGGAATCAGAGCAGGGACACGGTGACATCCCAGCATCCCTGGGAGCATTCCCAACCCCAATCCCAAATCCCGAGGGTTAAAGCAGAGCCTGAACCTTCCCAACACCAATCCCAGATCCCAGGAATCAGAGCAGGGACACGGTGACATCCCAGCATCCCTGGGAGCATTCCCAACCCCAATCCCAAATCCCGGGGGTTAAAGCAGAGCCTGAACCTTCTCAACCCCAAATCCAGGGCTCAGAGCAGAGCCTGAACCTTCTCAGCACCAATCCCAAATCCAGGGCTCAGAGCAGAGCCTGAACATTCCCAACCCCAATCCCAAATCCAGGGCTCAGAGCAGAGCCTGAACCTTCCCAACCCAATCCCAAATCCTGAGGGTTAAAGCAGAGCCTGAACCTTCCCAGCACCAATCCCAGATCCCAGGGGTCAGAGCAGAGTCTGAGCCCTCCCAACCCCAATCCCAAATCCTGGGGGTTGGAGCAGAGCCCAAACCCTCCCAACCCCAGTCCCAAATCCTGAGCAGAGCCTGAACCTTCCCAACCCCAAATCCAGGGGTGAGTGCAGAGCCTGAACCTTCCCAACACCAATCCCAAATCCTGGGGTTAAAGCAGAGCCTGAACCTTCCCAACATCAATCCCAAATCCTGAGCAGAGCCTGAACTTTCCCAACACCAATCCCAGATCCCAGGAATCAGAGCAGGGACACGGTGACATCCCAGCATCCCTGGGAACATTCCCAACCCCAATCCCAAATCCTGAGCAGAGCCTGAACCTTCCCAAGCCCAATCCCAAATCCCAAGGGTTAAAGCAGAGCCTGAACCTTCCCAACCCCAATCACAAATCCTGAGCAGAGCCTGAAACCTTCCCAAGCCCAATCCCAAATCCTGGGGGTTGGAACAGAACTCAAACATTCCCAACACCAATCCCAAATCCAGGGCTCAATGCAGAGCCTGAACCTTCCCAAGCCCAATCCCAAATCCTGGGACTTGGAACAGAACTCAAACATTCCCAACCCCAATCCCAAATCCTGGGGGTTGGAACAGAACTCAAACATTCCCAACCCCAATCCCAAATCCCAGGGGTCAGAGCAGAGCCTGAACGTCCCCAGCATCAAAGGGGCTCCCCCAAAAATCCACACAACAACTTTTGAAGCTCAGCCCATCTGAAGCACAGATGAGTTTTTCAATTTGGACAGAAAAACCTCCCCAAATCCACCCCCCCCCCCCCCCCCACTCCCAAAATTCCCATCTCCTCCACTAACCCTTGGAAAGGTTATTCCCTAAAAACCAGGGATGTCATTGAGCACAAGGAGCAGGAAAAACCCATCAAACAGGGGCTTTAATTCCCACTAAAAACCTTCCCCGCTCCCTGAGCTGGCCACTTTGGATAAAACAAAAATTAACATTAATTCCAGAAAAAAAAGAAAAAAAAAAGGGAAGGAAAACTTCCATCCAAAGCAGCAGCAGCAGCAGCTCCAGAGGCAGCTTCCACCCGGCTGTGATTAATCAGCTTGTCCACCTTGTCCAAATAGCCCATCGAGCAATAATTAAAAATAATAAGCCAGAAATTATCGAATCACACACAAGGAGTGCAGAGCTGCTTCCCCTTTCGCTTTTGTTTATTGTTCAAACCTGTCAAGGCCCTCGCAGCTCGCGGGGAAGGCAGAGCCCCTTCCAGACGGATTTGCAGGATGAAAAATGCCCCAGTTCTGACCCTTCCCGTTCAATCCCTGACCCTCCTGAGTTGTCCCCGTGCTGGTTCTGCCATCAGCAGCAGCAGGCCGGGGGACAATTTGCTGTCACCGGGTTCTGCTCCTCTCCAGGTGCGTTTTGTTCAGGTTTGGGCCCCAGCAGCTCCAGCTGAGATCAGAACAATCTCCTGCCTGCCTTTGCTTTCATGTTCTGCAATAAATACGTTTATTAAATGAGATTTGGGGAGCTAAACTCCGGCATGCACCGCCCTAGAGCTGGGATTACCCAGGGAAAATAATCCAAATTATCACCTGTAATATTGGCTGAAAGTTTACCTCTATCACCGCAAATAACAACGCAAAATTCAGCGGCCCTCTCCTGGAAAATTGGATATTTAGCAAAGGAAGGAAATACAACTCTGGGAAAAGCTTTCTTGGTGTTTCAGGAATAAAAAAAAAAAAACCAAATTCCCCTGGAGAAAAGCAGAAAAGCCCCGCTCTGCTCCTGCAGACAAAGGCTCCGGGACAGAGCACAGCCACTTACCTTAAACTCACCCAGAGCAAAGCTACTTCCCAAAACAGTTTGCAAGCAAAAAAAAAAACCCAAAAAAAAATCAAAATCATCACCAGAACCTCAGGGAAAACCAAAAACAACCAAGGAGAGGCTTTCGAGTGCGTTTATTCCCGGCTCCTTCCCCGCTGTCCTTTTATTTTAATTTTATATTAATTTTTTTTTGAATTTTGGTTTTTTTCTACGTGCCCTTTCTAATACCTTGAAGCCCCCATGGTCAGGACAACGACGACAATCGCGACAGGGCTGCCCCGAGGCTTGTCCGGCCGCACAAAGGCTGCAAATGAGAGCAGCGAAGGAAAGCGGCTGCCAGAAAGCCCCAACTTTAACGCTCGAGTTGCGATGAAAAATTCTGGGCTCGGGCTTTGGGAAAGGAGCAGAACTCGGAGGTTTCTGCCCCAAAAAGGCGGCGGGGAGCGCGGGGAGAAGGAGGGAGGTGGGAAGGGGCGCAGCTTTTCGGGCAGCTCCCACCAAATCCTTCTCCTGGAGCCTGAAAAGCCGGGGTGTGTTTTACTGCCCACCTGGACGGGGGCTGCAGGGAGAGCCCCGATCTCATCCGGCTCCAGCCGGGCGATTCCTGCAGCCCCGGAATGTTCCTGTACCGGGAAACAGCCGCAGCTCCCGCAGATAACCCCGGGCAGCCCCGGCCTTGCCTTCCCAGACCTGATCCACTCGGCAAAACTTTTATTTCTGTGCAGAGGGGGAGGGAAGAGGCCGCTCCTTCCCCGGGCACGGCTCCAGGGATGCGGGACCGGGATGGGGAACCGGGGTCCGGGATTGGGATGGGGAACCGGGATCCAGGATTGGGATGGGGAACCGGGATGGGGAACCGGGATGGGGAACCGGGATGGGGAACCGGGAGGAGGAACCGGGATCCGGGATTGGGATGGGGAACCTGGATACAGGATCGGGATGGGGAACTGGGATGGGGAACCGGGAGGAGGAACCGGGATCCCGGATTGGGATGCGGGACCGGGATAAGGGACTGGGACGGGGAACCGGGATGGGGAACCGGGATACAGGATCGGGATGCGGGACCGGGATGAGGAACCGGGATACAGGATCGGGATGCGGGACCAGGATAAGGGACTGGGACGGGGAACCGGGATGAGGAACCGGGATTAGGAAGCGGAATGGGGAACCGGGATGAGGGTCCCGCAGCCCGGTCCGGCCGCGCAGGGAAAGCCGCGCCGGGGCCACGGGGATGAGGAATAACGATAGAAAGAGGAATAACCGGGGGAACGTGCGGATGTCGCAGCGCGGGGTGGGCGGAGGGACGCGCCGGGCACCCCCTCCAAAAAGAAAAAAAAAAAAAAAGAAAAAAAGAAAGTTTAAAAAAGGAGAAAAAGCCGAAGCGCAGCTGCGATTTTCGGGGTCCCCGGCCCGGCCCGGCCCCGCCGTCCCCCGCGCGCCGTTCCTGAGCCTCTGGCGCCCCCTCGGGACGGAGCCGCGCAGCGCCCGCGGCCCCCGCTCCGCTCCGCGCGTCCCGCCCGCCGCCAGCGCGGCTGCAGCGGCCCCAGCGGCGGGGCCCGGCGGCGGCGCCTCCAGCAGCCACCCGCGGGGACCGTGGGGCACGGGCGGGGCGCTGTCGCTGTCCCCGCTGTGTCCCCGCTGTGTCCCCGCTGTGTCCCCGCTCTGTCCCCGCTCTGTCGCCGCTCCGGCCGGGCCGTGCCCCCCGCGCTGCGCCGCGCGGCCCCGCCCCCTCCGCGCGGCTCAGCCAATAGGGGCGGAGCGGCCCCCGCGGGCCGCGCTGTGATTGGCCGGGCCGGGGCGGGCGCGCGGGTATTTGTGCGCGCGGCGCGCAGCGGCCGCAGAGCCGCGCTGGAGACCGGCGGGGCCGCCGCGCCCGACACTGCCCGGGGCTCGCCCTGCTCCTTGTCCTGAGCCCGATCCTGAGCCCGAGCCCGCTCCCGGCCTCGCCAAAGTTTTTCTTTTTTCCCTTTCCTCGTTTCGGAGTTTTTTTGGTTTTCTTGCTTTTTGTAATTTTTTTGTTTTTTAGCGTTTTTGCGCTGAGGAGAAGTAATAAAAAGTTTTTTTGCGAGTCTCCTCTCCGCAGCCGGTGGAGACTTTGTTTCTCCGAGTTTTTTTGCTTTTTTTAACCCATCCCTGCCCCTTAGCGCCTAACTTTTTAATTTTTTTTTTTATTGTTAATTTTTTTTCGCCCCCTTGTTCCCCCTCGGCCACTTTCTCGCATGAATCTCCTCGACCCTTTCATGAAAATGACAGAAGAACAGGACAAATGTATCTCCGACGCCCCCAGCCCCACCATGTCGGATGACTCCGCCGGCTCCCCCTGCCCCTCTGGATCCGGCTCGGACACGGAGAACACCAGACCCCAAGAGAACACCTTCCCCAAGGGCGACCCGGACCTGAAGAAGGAGAACGACGAGGACAAGTTCCCGGTGTGCATCCGGGAGGCGGTGAGCCAGGTGCTCAAGGGCTACGACTGGACCCTGGTGCCGATGCCGGTGCGGGTGAACGGCTCCAGCAAGAACAAACCGCACGTCAAGAGACCCATGAACGCCTTCATGGTGTGGGCGCAGGCGGCCCGCAGGAAGCTGGCGGATCAATACCCGCATCTGCACAACGCCGAGCTCAGCAAGACCCTGGGCAAGCTCTGGAGGTGAGTGCGGGGCCGGGGATGCCCGCGGGGAGCGGGGGATGCGGGGTTGAAAAGGCGCTGGAAAACTTGTGCGGAGCGCAAAACTTGTTAGGTCGGGGAGAAACCAGGATAGGAGGGCGAGAGCAGGGAAAGTAGGGAAAGTTGTTCATTCGTGGTGTTGGGAGTGGTTTCTGTTTCCGGAGCGGGGGTACCGTGCGGAGCCCCCCCGGCCGTGGTTTGTTTGCGCCGCGGGTGCGGAGGAAACGATGGATTTTGGATTTTGGGGATTATTGCATCAGCTCGGGCCGGGCCGGAGGGAGCGCGGGGCGATGCGGGGAGGGAGGGAGGGGAGGGTGGGTGGCGCAGGGCCGGGTGGCCTCCGAGTGCCAGAATAAGGCGGGGAGGGGAGGAAAACACGAGGCGAGTGAGTCACCTGGGCCACCGCGTCCTCGGGGAGGGGGGGGACCCCGCGGCGGTGGCACGGGGCAGCAAAGCTGGCCCTGGCAGGCGGAGGTGTCCCCAAACGCCCGGGGACAGCGGCGAGATGTGCCCGCAGGGTGGGGAGGAGGGAGGGGGCTGGAGCCCTCCTGCGGCTCTGGTCTGGGCACCGAAGGAACCTGGGGGACAAGGGGGTGACAACCGGAGAGCGCCGGGGACAAGGGGGGTGACAACCGGAGAGCGCCGGGGACAAGGGGGTGACAACCAGCGAGTGTCCCGGACGGGGGGATCAGCTTGTGGGGGGCTTGGCATCGCTCTTTGCGGGGATCCCAAGGAGGGATCGGTCCCGGTGTCGCTGCTCGGCCACCACGAGTGACCCCGCGCCCCCCGTGTCCCCCCAGGCTGCTGAACGAGAGCGAGAAGCGCCCGTTCGTGGAGGAGGCCGAGCGGCTGCGGGTGCAGCACAAGAAGGACCACCCCGACTACAAGTACCAGCCCCGGCGGAGGAAATCGGTGAAGAACGGGCAGGCGGAGCAGGAGGAGGGCGCGGAGCAGACCCACATCTCCCCCAACGCCATCTTCAAGGCGCTGCAGGCGGACTCGCCCCAATCCTCCTCCAGCATCAGCGAGGTGCACTCGCCCGGGGAGCACTCGGGTAGGTGCCCAGGGAGCCTGCGGGGGACACGGCGCGGCTGCCCAGGCAGGGCTGAGCGTGGGGTTGGGTGTGGGGAGGGGAAGATCCAGGAATGGAAAGATCCAGGAGAGATCCAGGAATGGAAAGATCCAGGAATGCCTGCGGGGGGCACAGCACAGCTGCCCAGGCAGGGCTGAGGTTGGGGGACACGGCACAGCTGCCCAGGCAGGGCTGAGGGGACACGGCACAGCTGCCCAGACAGGGCTGAGGTTGTGGGACACGGCACAGCTGCCCAGGCAGGGCTGAGGCTGCAGAGGGCACAGCACAGCTGCCCAGACAGGGCTGAGGTTGTGGGGACAGGGCACAGCTGCCCAGACAGGGCTGAGGTTGGGGGACATGGCACAGCTGCCCCGACAGGGCTGAGGTCGGGGTTGGCTGAGGGGAGGGGAAGGAAAGAGGCAGGAGTGGAGGAGAACAGGGAGAACTGCCCACGAGCTGTGCCCAGAGGCCGAGCACACAAATTGTCACCCCACTGCAGCCATTTGCCTGTGAGAAACACAAACTCGTGCTTTTTAAAGGCCCAAAGTAATATCTTGTGTGTGAGGGCACAGCGGGCTGCTGGGCTCCGCGTCCCTTGCACCAGACACGTGTCTGTCACTGCTCAGGGCGCTGCCACCCCCGTCCCACCCTCACCCCTGTCCTTGCTCCCCCAGGCCAGTCCCAGGGGCCCCCCACGCCCCCCACCACCCCCAAGACGGACGCCCAGCCGGGCAAGCAGGACCTGAAGCGCGAGGGCCGCGCGCTGGGCGAGGGCGGCCGGCAGCCGCCGCACATCGACTTCCGCGACGTGGACATCGGCGAGCTCAGCAGCGACGTCATCTCCAACATCGAGACCTTCGACGTCAACGAGTTCGACCAGTACCTGCCCCCCAACGGGCACCCCGGCCAGGTCACCTACACGGGCACCTACGGCATCAGCGGCGCTGCCGGGGTCTGGATGTCCAAGCAGCAGCAGCAGCAGCAGCCGCCAGCGGCGCAGCTGCCGGCGCTGAGCGCCGAGCAGGGCCCCCAACAGCAGCAGCAGCAACAGCAGCAGCAGCAGCAAAGGACCCACATCAAGACAGAGCAGCTGAGCCCCAGCCACTACAGCGAGCAGCAGCAGCACTCCCCGCAGCAGCAGCAGCAGCAGCAGCTGAGCTACAGCTCCTTCAACCTGCAGCACTACAGCTCGTCCTACCCCAGCATCAGCCGCGCGCAGTACGAGTACGGCGAGCACCAGGGCTCCTCCTCGGGCTCCTACTACAGCCACGCCGGGCAGGGAGGGGGCATCTACTCCACCTTCAGCTACATGAGCCCCACGCAGCGCCCCATGTACACCCCGATCGCCGACAGCGCGGGGGTGCCCTCCATCCCGCAGACGCACAGCCCGCAGCACTGGGAGCAGCCCGTGTACACGCAGCTCACCCGGCCCTGAGCCACGGGGAGACGGCGCCGGAAAAGGCGAAAAAAAAAGAAAAAAAAGCGAGAGGAAAAATAAAAATTAAAAAAAAAAAAACGATCAGAACGAGCGAAAGCACCGAGGAGTTGCCTCAGAGTGTGTGAGATTGAAATGATGATTAAAAAGACGCTCGCGTGGAAGCTGGCGCCTCGAGCCTTCTGCACTACAGCATCCTCCAGGACCCGCTCCCAAGGCCTGAAATTTGGGACAGACTTGCCAAGGACTGGACTTGAACTCTGCTTCTTCCAGCGTGGAGAGGAGATTTCCATCCAACATGCCCAGCTGGCTCCTTCTCTGGACTTTTGTAATGATTTTTTGTTTTGTTTTTCGGTTTTTTTTTTAGCAGTAATTAAAAGCGAGATAAAAAAATAAAAATTAAAAAAAAAAAAGGGGGGTAAAAGAGAAAGCTCAGAGTCCTCTGTGAGGAATATTCTCTATTTTAAATATTTTTAGTATGTACTGTGTATGATTCGTTACCAATTGTGAGGGGATTTATACCTATTTTTTAGAGATTTTTTGGAAATGCTCTTATTTTTCCAACAGCTAAAAAAAAAAAAAAAAATGACACTTAGTGGAGCAGCCCTAGGGTTTCTTGCAGAGGTATTTTTGTATAGAGAAGTGTCTTTTTTTTGCTCTAAAAATGAAACTAAACCAGCGTGCTCTGCCCTGGGAACCCAGCACTGGGGCAGGGACCAGCATGGGAGAGGCTTTATTTTTCTAACTCGTAGCAAAACCAGCCAGGAGGAGAACTTCACTTTATTTTTTAATAACCTTGAGCCTTAAAAGAAAAACAAAAAGAGGAAAAAAAAAAAAATAATGACAAAAAAAAGAAATAACTCCACGGAGCAGCCCCAAAGTGCTGCTGGAAGCCTTAAAGCAGCCCCTGATAATCACAGGCCCCGGGCTGGGGCTGAGCCCGACCCCTCCGGGCACCCCCTGCCCACCCCAGGGTGCCAAACCCAGCCGGGGGCTCCTCTCTGCCTGGGGGCCCTCACAGATCCTTTAAATTATTTATTTGGGGAGAAGAGCAGCTTTCAATCGCCGTTTTCCTTGGGTTTTGTTGTTTTCAAGTCCTTTCAGAAGCGTCGTTGCATTAGGTTGGGAGCATTATTTGGAAGGTGACCGTGCCTGTTAAATTATGGTCTGAAACTGTAACCAGTCCTTTATTTATCTCTCTAATTCCTTTTTGGTCGTTGTTATTATTATTATTATTATTCTTTTTTTTTTTTTTGGAATCTGTGTCCTGGGTTTGTACAAACTTTGTGCTCTTCCTTTTTTTTTTTTTTTTGTTTTGTTTTGTTTTTATTTTTTTTTTTTTGCCTTCGAGGAGAAACTGGAAGAAAGAAAAAAAAAAAAAGAAAAAATGAGATTTGTACAAACTAAAGATTGCAAATGTAGCGGATCACTGAATCATTTGCCTTGTTTCCTGCCTCAGCTCTCTGGGACACACGAGCTCGTGCGAGGACGAGCCCTCACCCCAGCCCTGCTGCAGGGGTGGCACCGTTTTAGCCTTCAACCCCCCCAAAAACTGCCTGGGAGAGCTGGGGGGGACACTGATTTTGGTGAAGCTGTGGCTGAACAGTTAAGGATTGCTTTTTAAAAAAGACAGCAGACTTTTTTTATTTAAAAAAAAATAATGATATATTTGTTAACTTTTTTTTTTTTTTTTTTTGGTAGGGATTCAGTAGGAGAATAAAAAAAAATCTTAAAGCACTCTTATAATATGGCATCTTTCTATTTCTGTATAAAAGCAGATCTTTTTAAAGTATTTCTGTAACTTAAAAGACCTGTCCTTTATAAATCATATTTTGTCTTTAGGGTAAGTTTGGTTTGGTTTTGGTTACAAGATCCTTCTCTTTGTGAAACTTACCTTATTTTTTTTTTGTTGTTCGTTTTGGTTTGGATTTTTTTGGTTTTTTTTTGTTTGGTTTTTTTTTGTATATTATTGTTTGCAATAAATATACATTGTATCAAAAGTTGCACCTGCCCCGGGTGTGGGGTTTGTTATCGGGGTTTGTTATCAGGGTTTGTTATCAGGGGTTTTTTCTCAGCCCCCAGGGCAATGCTGGATGGGTTTGGGTTCATGCTCAGGGCTGGGATGTCCCCCCCTCCTTTATCCCAAGCAGAGCCATCCCAGACAAAGCAGAGCCAGGGAATAAATGGGATTGAATGGAGAAACCCAGGCTGGCCAGGTCAGGGTGTGACCCCAAAGGGGACACCTGAGCTCCCCAAACACCTGGGCTGTCCCCAGATCCTGCTGGCTCTGGGGTGTCTGCTCCATTCTGGGCATGCTGAGCACGAGGGGAAGAGAAAGGAGCAACCCCAAGGGTTTGGGCTTAAAAATCTGCTGAAATCCTCCCCAAATCTGCTGCAATCCTCCCCAAAACCCCCAAATGTGCTGCAATCCTCCCAAAACCCCCAAATGTGCTGCAATCCTCCCCAAAACCCCCAAATCTGCTGCAATCCTCCCCAAAACCCCCAAATGTGCTGCAATCCTCCCTAAAAACCCCAAATCTGCCACCAGCCAAGCAGGGCCCGTGTCCCCCTCAGGGATCCGTGTCCCCTGTCCCTCCCTGGGAAGGAAGGACCCCCCTGGATCGGCCCAGCTTGGATTTTCCAACCCAACCCATCCCAACTCTGTCCCTGCCCTGCTCTGGGCTCTGGAGCAGCTCAGGCCAGGCTTTGTCACCTCAGGGCTCGCTGGGGACACAAATCCCTGCAGGTCCCTGCAAGGCCTCAGCTTCCAGCTGGGAAAACTCGTGTCCAATGTCCCAGCTTGTCCCAAATTCCCCCAGAGCTGCAGCTGGCACGGGACTGCTGGAAAAGCTGAGCCAGGCACCAAACGGGATCAGGGATGGGCAAACCCCCTCTTTATCCCAAGCACAGCCCTGCCAGACAAAGCAGAGCCAGGGAATAAATGGGATTGAATGGGCAAACCCAGGCTGGCCTGATCAGGGTGTGACCCCAGAGGGGACACCTGAGCTCCGGCTGTCCCCAAATCCTGCTGGCCCCGCTCTGGGCCCAGCTCCAGCGCTCAGGTGGGGATTTGATCCCCCTGGAATCTTTTCCTGGCTGGAAAAGCCCCTCTGATCCCATCCTGCAGCCCCAGAGCTGCCTCTGCCGAGCCTTTCCCCCCTCAGCCCAGCACCCCCAGGGATTCATTAACTCCGAGCGTTAATTGGGGTCAGCGCTGCTCTGCTGTGCCGTGTGGGAGCTCTTTGATCCCTGACATTTCTCCTCCCCAGCTTTTCCCCTGCTCCTCCCAGACTTTGCCCTGGCTGCTTTTTGGGACAGCAAACGCAGCTCCGGGGTTTAGGGTGAGCAAGGAGCTCCAGGGGGAGCTCAGCAGGGCCACGAACAATTCCACAAAACACAAAACGCTCCTGGGGCCGGGGTGGGCTGGGAAAGGGCCTGGAACTGGGACAGGCAGAGCCTGGAACAGGAGGGACCTTTCTCATCCCACCCCAACGGGATTCCTGGGACATTTCCTGGGGCATTTCCTGGGACATTTCCTGGGGCAATTCCTGGGGCATTTCCTGGGGCATTTCCTGGGGCATTTCCTGGGGCATTTCCTGGGGCATTTCCTGGGGCATTTCTGTCCCCACCCCGCCGTGCTCAGCTCCCCTCTGCCCCCTTTTCCAGCAAAAGCATCCCTGGGATTTCCTCCTCACAAAAACCCCAAAAACAACAAAAGTTTTGCTTCTTTTTCTTCTTTTGCTCCAGCCTGGCAAACAGGATTCCTGGGACGTTTCCTGGGGTATTTCCTGGGACATTTCCTGGGACATTTCCTGGGGCATTTCCTGGGACATTTCCTGGGACATTTCCTGGGACATTTCTGTCCCCACCCTGCTTTGCTCAGCTCCCCTCTGCCCCCTTTGCCAGCAGAAGCATCCATGGGGTTTCTCCCTCACAAAAACCCCAAAAACAGCAAAACTTTTGCTCTTTTGCTCCAGCCTGGCAAACAGGATTCCTGGGACATTTCCTGGGACATTTCCGGGGACATTTCTGTCCCCACCCTGTTTTGCTCAGCTCCCCTCTGCCCCCTTTGCCAGCAGAAGCATCCATGGGGTTTCCTCCTCACGAAAACCCCAAAAACAGCAAAACTTTTGCTCTTTTGCTTCTTTTGCTCCAGCCTGGCAAACAGGATTCCTGGGACATTTCCTGGGACATTTCCTGGGGCATTCCTGGGACATTTCCTGGGACATTTCCTGGGACATTTCCTGGGACATTTCCTGGGACATTTCCTGGGACATTTCTGTCCCCACCCTGTTTTGCTCAGCTCCCCCTGCCCCCTTTTCCAGCAGAAGCATCCATGGGGTTTCCTCCTCACAAAAACCCCAAAAACAGCAAAACTTTTGCTTCTTTTGCTCCAGCCTGGCAAATGGGATTCCTGGGATATTTCCTGGGGTATTTCCTGGGACATTTCCTGGGACATTTCCTGGGATATTCCCACCCCGCCGTGCTCAGCTCCCCCCTGCCCCCTTTTCCAGCAGAAGCATCCCTGGGATTTCCTTCTCACAAAAACCTCCAAAAAAGCAAAAGTTTTGCTTCTTTTTCTTCTTTTGCTCCAGCCTGGCAAACAGGATTCCTGGGACATTTCCTGGGATATTTCCTGGGATATTTCTGTCCCCATCCTTCTTTGCTCAGCTTCCCTCTGCCCCCTTTGCCAGCAGAAGCATCCATGGGATTTCCTCCTCACAAAAACCCCAAAAACAGCAAAACTTTTGCTCTTTTGCTCCAGCCTGGCAAACAGGATTCCTGGGACATTTCCTGGGACATTTCCTGGGACATTTCTGTCCCCACCCTGCTTTGCTCAGCTCCCCTCTGCCCCCTTTGCCAGCAGAAGCATCCATGGGGTTTCTTCCTCATGAAAACCCCAAAAACAGCAAAACTTTTGCTCTTTTGCTTCTTTTGCTCCAGCCTGGCAAACAGGATTCCTGGGACATTTCCTGGGACATTTCCTGGGGCATTCCTGGGACATTTCCTGGGACATTTCCTGGGACATTTCTGTCCCCACCCTTCTTTGCTCAGCTCCCCCAGCCCCCTTTGCCAGT